ACATTTTTCTTCTTTTGAAAATTTAACTTTATCTTTTCCTTGCTCAGCTACTGTTTCAATAGGGATTCTTTCCACCTTTCCTGATTCTATATGTCATACCACAGTGTTATCCCCACACTTTGAAACACATATTTAAGTTACAGTGTAGATTGACCTCTAATGAAGATTCAGGGTTGGTCAAACCTTCTCTTGGGGCTTTTTCTTGATTGGTTAATTCTCAGTTTTTATGCAGAATTTGATCTTTAAGCACTAATGTATATAATATGTGGAGAATGTAAATTGAAAAAGAAAACTTTAAAACAGTGATTTGCCTAATTTAAATCTTAATTGGGTGGAAGGCATTATGATTTGAAGAGAAAGAATCAAAAATAAAATAAAGCTGTACATTTCTTTTGTATAGCACAGGGAACTATATTCAATATCTTATAGTAACCTATAACGAAAAAGAATATGAAAACAAATATATGTATGTATATGTGTGACTGAAACATTATGCTGTACACCAGAAATTGACACAACATTGTAAACTGACTATACTTTAACTAAAAAAGCCAAAAAATAAAAACTGAGAAATAGGAGATCCTCATTTCCAAAGGGCAGATCTTGGGGGAGAGAGATTTTGCTTTAGTACACTGAGGAACTTTTACTCTTTCAGAGCTGTGTAAAGATGACCTCTCAGTAAATATAACCCACTTATATTTGCATATACTGATTTATATTTAGAAAAACAGATTATATTGTAGAAACCTGTGTAGATATGGGAAAAATAAATTATATACACACACATAAAATTCCTTAAGAGCCCTTGAAATGAAGCATAAAAGTTAAAGCATAATCATTGTTGTTACTTTTAGATATTTTAGAATATAGTTTATGTAAGGAGTAAAATCAGAGGCCTATTACCTTTTATTTCTGAACAATAACAGTATGTTTAATGAAGAAAATCTTTCCCAGGCCTTTTGGGTGGGTTGTTTTCCTTTAATCATATAACTATTTGCTAGTTAAATGAATTACAGTTGAACCTTTGCTTCATTTATCTAAAATGATACGGTAACCTTAGGGAAGTGGCCATTTTCTTTCTTTCTTTTCTTTCCTTTCTTTCCTTTGCTTTAAATATGTTAAACTATAGATAAATACTTGCTGCTCTATATATAATATTTGAGAAAAACTTCTTACCAAGTGTGTAGGATATGACTTCTTTAGCTTCCTGGAAAGGCAGTAACAAGTGGTACAATTAGTTATTACATTGGTGGGTCCCAGGCATTTGCATTTCTCAATGTGACACACAGAAAACTTAAGCTTTCAGTTCTTAGCAAGCTTGCTAATAGATCTTTATGGTTCTAAAATCCAGGAACGTCAGCATTTTGCAGAAGTCTTGACAGACTGTCTTCCCCTTCTGGTCTTCTCCTTCCTCATTTCTATAACTTAACAGTTATAAACCAAACATGCATACCTGAAAGCAGCCTGAAAATTCACCAATACAAGCCATCATTTATGTTGTTTTTGTGACACTTAGAAAGAAAATTAAGTGTGGAATTGAGTAACTTTTACCCGGTAAAAAAATAAAATAAAAATTCTTTTTGTAGGATACATGCTATTAACTCCTGAGATCTTTCTTCATCTGTAAGTTTCTTATCCCCTCATTATTTCCTGAGACAGGAAGAGTCCAGGCACAGGTAGGATGACTGCCTGACAGATGTGTCCTAATATGCCCTCTACTGCAGACGAGTGAGCTGTAGGTTTCTTTTAACCCCTGGGTGCTTTACTCCGAACCAGTTTCCTGTCACCTCACTATTTTCTTTCTTATTTTTTATTCCTACCACCTTGAGAAAGGTTTCTTTCTTCCTTGATCATCATGAACCAAAACATAGTCTTAGCTTCACTCTCCCACTGTCTTATCCCTGATGCAAGTACATATCTGAGATTTTTTAAAAGCCTTTGTTAGATTATACTTTGAGATTTTTCTTCTGTTGCTAAGGAAACAAGATGATGAGACTAGGTAAGAGTTTCCTTGAAGGTGTTAGTGACAGATCTTAGGGATATAAAAAACTGACCAGAAATACCAATTTTAGTGACTCTCTGAGGCATTTTTTCAGTAAAGTTAAAGTAGGAAGTGAAGACCTTGGAATGAGAGCAAGCTGGCGGAGGGTGGAGAATGCAGGTTAATAGAAGACTGGAATGGAGCAGTGGCCGTGGCTGTTAGCCTTCCTCTTCCTGCCCCATCTGATCACAGTCCTGCCACAGGGTGAACTGGCGCTGGATTGCTGATGGGCCTTGTGGGAAGTGAGGGAAGTTACTGGCTTTGTAGCACTAGGATGGAAGGATTGAAGAATAGGGTTTCTGAAAGGCAGCTGACTGGGCTGGTGGGTATTCAGTTGACCTCATCTGTAATGGATATACCTATCTTTGGAGAGCTCCCTAAGTCATTTGTGGGCTGCTTTTTAAAAAATATTCTTCCTACTTTTCATCCATTTCAGCATATAGCTCTCAAGGCAAAGACCTAAGGAGACAATATTAGGCAGACAAGAACATGATCCTGTTGGCTAGAAACTTTTCCTTTGTTTTTCAGTTATCATATAGTAAAATTGATGGGGTTTTTTGCCTGGCATACAACTACATGAATTTTAATACATGTATAGTAACCACCTGCCACAGTCAGGGTACTGTGGCACAGGATATTGTGTCAGAACAGTTCCATCAACCTCCCAAAATTTCCTCATGCTGTCCCTGTGTAGCCACACACACATCCCTCCCTGACCCCTTGCACTCACCGATTTATTCTCCATCACTCTGGTGTCGAGTCTTTTTGGGAATATCCTATGAATGGAATCTTGCAGTATGTAATCTTTTGAGGCTGTCTTCTTTTACTCAGCTGTAGTGCCTTTTGATTTATCCACGTTGTTGTTTGTATCAATAGTTTGTTCTCTTTTGTTGCTGAGTGATATTCCATTACATGGATTTACCACAGTATCTGTTTACACTGAAGCCTTGTTGAAGGACAGCTGGGTCGTTTACAGTTTTTGGAGATTATGAAGAGAACTGCTATAATTCCCTTGCAGAGTTTTGCATATGCATAAATTTTCATTTTTCTAGGGTAAATATTCAGGAATGGGATTGTTTGTTCATATATTAGTTGTATCTTGAACTTAATAACTGTGAAACTTTTCCAGAATGTTTGTACCGTTGTGCATCCCCACCAGCAGTATGTGAAAATCTCCTTTGCTTCCTCATCAGTGCTTGGAATTGCCAGTATTTTTTATTTAGCCACCAGCCAAGTTAGGTATAGAGTTGTTACACTTACAGAAGCTGAAACGGTCTAACCAGGACAAGTGTTGAGAGAAAAGAAAGTAGAGCAAGAGAATAGATTTATTGATGTGGCAAAGATTTCCTCAGCAAACATTTTTGGAAATGGTGTACCCAGAGATCTACACTGTAGAGAATGAATCAGAGATGTGGATTTGAAAAAAATTAGATTTATAAATTCTCTCTAAAAAGACCCATAGAATACCTAAACTTAAGATTTTTCATATTCCTTCCTTTCATAGTGGATATGGAGACTAGAAGAGGGGACAGAAAGAAGAGATGGAAGTGAAAAGGGAATAAATAGTATGAGAAGCTTGAAGGTTTGGAGAGAAGATAGGGGAACAGAGGGGTTAAAAAGGTGGGGGGGTGGAATGAGAAGACATCATATGTAGAAGAAAATAAATGGTACCTGAAAGAATTTGTGAAAACAAGAGATTATTTTAAGAACAAAATACATAATAGGGAGAACATGAAATAAACAGTGTAGCTACTGTTTACTGAAGACCCGTCCTTTCTGGGCCAGGTTCTGCACCACTGCCCTTCTCAAAACCACTCCCCGAGGTGGGCTGTTGTGTTCCCACTTGACCCCTGAAGAAGTGAGACTCAGGGCCCAACATTACTAAGCAGTTAAGTACTGCCTCTGCACCCCAGGTTGAAGCTTCCCCTTGGTTTTTTTTTTCTCACAAATTTCTTGCCTTGGTTTCCAAGGACTATTGTGTTGTGCTTTTTTTTTTTTTAAATAAAGATGTTCAGGAATAAAAAGGGAGAAATACAGGTTTAACATTAAGTTCTGTGTTAGATGACAAGGTTATCAAATGGAACTAGTCGTAACTGATTAGAGGCCCTATTACTACCCTTGACTCCACCTTTCCCCGAAAGAGAGATTTTTCAAATGAAGGATCCATTAATCGCATTTCTTTAGCAGAGAGGAGGACAATACAAGATCATCTCCGGTCACACTGTTGCTGTGAACTTTGGCAGATAACCTCTGCAATTATTGTTTCATGTTTTATTTTGGGTATCTTGTCAGGAAACCAAGTGATATCCTGTAATTATATAACCAGTTACTTCTTTTTAAAAATGTGCCAGTGGAAAAAACTATTTTTAAGAAATTAGAGAGAGGCTTTGGAAAAAGAAGAAAATGCATTATGTCATTTTCTTTTCTGAGCAGAATGGATTAAAATCATTACAATGAAAATATAAATAATTAAATTTCACAAGTAAGTTATTCTATAATCTTACTGATACATATGGACTTTGGAAGTGATTTTGTTTTTCCACTAAAATATTTTTACTTTTCTTTTTTTTTTTGATGAAGTTACTTTTTTTTTGTTGTTTATTTCTTGGAGTGTAGATAATTTAATGTACTGGAGGACTTTAATGCTCTGAACTCTGAACTCTGTTATAATATGAGGTTGATATTCTTTTAGTATTTTCCTTTATCCCTGTCCCCTTTACAGTCCCTCACAGATGTGAATAAACTTTCTGAAATTCTACCTTGATTTTGTGGGGTTTTGCCTTTAAATTATGTTTCATGTCTTCCAAGGAGCAGGTTTGGTTATTCACACTTTTTGTGAGGCCCATACTTTATTTTGACTTATTTTCGAGTTACTCACGTCAAATGGAAGTGTGCTTCCATCTAGAGAATTTAAAGGTAATATTAAATGTGTCTTCTCCCCCCACCACTTTTTCTTTAGGCTCCTGTTCCAAAGAGTGCACTTATTCCAGTAATTCCCATCACCAAATCAACAGGCTCCCGGTTCCGGAATAGTGTGGAAGGATTGAATCAGGAGATTGAAATAATAATTAAAGAGACTGGGGAAAAGGAGGAACAACTTATCGTAAGTTAATATTGTACCTTAAAATCATCCTTATCCATTAACTCTTCTAACTATTAAAAAATTCACGATTTTGTTTTCCATATTTATATAGGTTTTTCTTTTCCTTGAGAGTGAAAATTTCTCTTTTGAAAAACTTTGACCTTTGCAAGTGAATGGAAAGTTCTCAGTTCTTTGTATCTTGTAGAGACATCTGATGTGACTTAAATTTGGATCCTTGAACAGGAGCTATTTTTTGTTTTTCTGTATTTAAAAATTGCTAGACAGATAATATGGCTGTAACTCCATTTAACAAAAGTCTAGCTTACTAGTGTGCTGGGGAGGGAGGGCTATGACACGGAGTACTTTCTAAGTATGAATCCACCTCTTGCTCACTGTCAGTTACTGTTTGGTTGACTGTATCAGCATGAAGCACAGTTCTGCTTACCTACAGTACATATAAGAATGTGTATTCTATTAATTGTGACACACATAAGAATGGCTCACATTTAAGTCGGTGAGAAAATTTCCTGTTTATACTTAAAACCATGTCACAATATATTTAAGCTTTGATTCTTCAGGGAAAGAAGAATTGGAAAGTTGGAAGTAATTTTTTTTTAATTGAAGTAAAGTCAATTACAGTGTGTCAGTTTCTGGTGTACAGCACAATGTGCCAGTCATGCATATACATACATATATTCAAGAAAAGTATTTTATTGATGCTTAAGATTAAAGGTTGGTTTAGCTTAGAGAAAACACAGCTGCCCACACTCTCTCCTCCTCTGCATCATGGGGAAACTTCCCCAAGTAAATGCACTAGAGGTGTACAGGGATCTGCTAAGTGAGCCACACGAGCTTTCCTCTGAAGTTCTCCTTGACTTCCCTCTATAATTAGCACTGCTGTGATTAACCTTCCCTCGTGTAAGGAAGTTTCTTTGAAAACACTGTTTCAGGAGGAAGTGGGTGGGAGGAGAAGGCAGCAGGGCCTGTCATCAAGTATCACTGGTTCACACAGTGGTAACCTGTCCTTCCAACATGGAACCTAGTGTGGCACCTGGATTTCTCCTCTTTCACCGTGACCCGTCTTTACAATTTTAAAAATAATATTTAGCATATGGTAAGTAATTCAGTAGAGTTCATCCTTCAGCAGGCACTGACCTCTCAGGTGCCTGACCCCGGGAATACAGAGTCTCTTCCCTGCTGCGCAGTGTCCAGCGGGGGACAGATTAGATGGGCCTGTCACTAATGGAGCAACACAAAGGCTTCTGTCTTGTTAGGAGAGGGTGTCTGAGTTTTGAATCTTCTGAACAACAGGGGATGGTTGACATTGGGAGCATTTCAGGGTGAATGTCAAAGTCTATGGCAAATAATATGTATGTTTTTAAAATGTGATAACAGCCACAAGACATTCCAGATGGCCATCGTGCACCTCCACCCCTCGTGCAGAGGAGCAGCAGCACGCGCAGCATCGACACGCAGACCCCCGGCGGGGCAGAGCGGGGGAGCAACAACAGCAGCCGCTCACAGTCTGTGTCCCCCACGTCCTTCCTCACCATCTCCAACGAGGGGAGTGAGGAGAGCCCTTGTTCGGCTGACGACCTGCTTGTGGACCCCAGGGATAAAGGTACGACGCAGGAGGAATTTGCTACCAGAGGATAAGTGAATACCACCTGTTTTTTCACGCATTCTGTTCATTTTCTAGCAGAGCACGCACACTTAGGGCTGCTGAGATAATCACTTCGAGATGTGTTCAAAACAAGAATTTTTAAAAATTAGAGAACAAAACAATAGGTTTTACTGTGGTGCTCAGGTGATGCTCTAGTTGGGTGGGGTTTATGGGCTTTTGTTTGTACCTTTTTTTTTCACTTGTTAATACAAGTTAGTTATTAGTAAGAAACATTCTTTTTGGTATAAATGAAATGCACATTTGTCCTGAGGAGCATTTTGTTCTCTATCACCTTAGTTGTTATGTTTTTGCTACCTTAACTACTTTCTAATTGAATATGAAACCTTCACGTTAGTGTTTTTTAGGATCTATATTTGTGGTATTTCTAACAAGTATTAAGCTAACCTGTATATACATACATCTTATATATACGTATCATTGCAAAATAAGTATTCAAGGCAAGCCTAGAGTAAAAGGTTGGGGTGGGGTTACTTACAGTATTAAACCACTTATGCACCCCAGAAAGTAATTTGGATACATAGCACTTAGAATATTAATTACTAGTAATATTCTTACCTTTTAAGAAAAATAGGATCTTTCATCTATCTATATCAGGGCAATATTTTTTTAGCCTAATCATAGTACTGCATGAACTTGAGAGCAATAAGATATTATTTAATAAATTTTACAGCTCAGTTCAGTAGTAATTAATTTAGAACTTCCTATGTGCAGTGTGTTGAATGTCTGAAAATGTTCTATTCCCAGTGACAACTGGTCATTACTGCCAGTCACCTAAAGTTTTGAGACTATATAGCAAGTAAAGAGGACATAAGATTTTCTGAAGACAACACTTCAAACCATGGGCAGTTGTAAAATGTTATTTGGACCCTTTTTTGCTAGCATCTAGGTTAAATAAAACATAGCTATCCTAGGCCAACACCTTGGACCAATTAAATCACAACCGCTGGGGGCAGGACACAGACACCAGAAGTTTTTGGTGTTCCCAGGTGATTCAGGTGCACATAAGTTTGATACCCACTGAATTAAATCATTTGATTGGGCCATGTGTTTCTTGTGAGGAGTTGGCATAATTAACTACGTCTTATACTTACTGTGAGGATTAAAAGTGAATACAAACTATTTGGTGCAGCTCCTGGTACTCAGTCAATATACCGTGCACCACCAAAATTAAACCATGGCTATTGGAATCTACCCTTTGATTTCCCATACTTTCTACTTTTATTTCAGTAACATGTAGGAACTCCATAAATTTTAAGTCCTGCTTATCTAACTTGAGGAGACCAGTGGCTGGTTAGCTTCTGTGATTTCTTTATAGGAAAGGGCGACAGTGCTACTGCCAGCAAGGAATTTGTAGTTGAGCTGACACAGTCAGATTGAAAACTTAAAACACTTAGGTAACATTTCAAGAATTTTAAATTTATATAGTAGAAACTGAGGACACCAGCACTGAACAGGAATAACAGAGTAAAGAGGTGTTTCCTTTGATAGGGTTAATTTGGAAAGATTTCAAAAACTTTGAGCCAGACTTTGAGGGATGTTTTGGAAAATGAGCAGAGAAGGACCTCTTAGATATAGAGAAGTTGGTGGGCAAAAGAGTCTTCAGCATACATTGCATATGGCTCTGACTACCTGGAGCAGTGATTGTAACCAGAGGAGCAGAGAAATCAAATTGAGAGATGCTGAGGGGCAGGCCACAGGTGAAGGATGAGCAGCCCGTAAAGAACCAATTCAGTCACTTTCCTGGGAAGAATGAGCATGGCATTTGAGCCCATCTGCTGTGTACAGAATAGAAATAAGGCAGCAGCAGATCAGTGTTCAGTGCCGAGGAGTAAAATACAGGCCTAGGCTGTGGTAGTTTTAAGTAGAAAAGAAATTAAAATGTCTTGTTTATGCATTTATTTGACAAACATTAATTATCTCCTTTTTACCGGGAATTGTGTTACATATTGGGGTAAAGTGGATGAATAGAACACTGTTTCTACCCTTAAGTAGTTCATGGTGTTGGGGGAGTGCCAAGAACAATTAAACAGAGTATGACTGTGCACCTATGTGGTCCTATTTCTTAGTAATCCAGTGTGCCATTTATTGCAGAAAATGGGAACAACTCTCCTTTGCCCAAATATGCAACCTCACCAAAACCTAACAACAGTTACATGTTCAAAAGGGAACCTCCCGAGGGCTGTGAAAGGGTCAAAGTCTTTGAGGAATGCTCGTAAGTATCCCCCATTGCCTCCCCTCCCTACAAAAAAACGTTTATTAGAATTTTCAAACAGGCTGAAGAACAATACATTGACCACTTATATATTCACCACTGGATCCTGTAGTTAGCATTTTGCTATGTTTGCTTTGTTTCTGTGTGTTAGTGTTAGTTTTTGCTGAACTGTTTGAAAGTAAGTTGCAGACATCATGACACTTTATTTTAAATACAATTTAATACTCGCTTCCTAAAAGTAACCACTCCTACATAACTACAATACCATTGCCACACCCAAGAAGATTACAGTTATGCTTAATACCAACTTATATCCTGTTATTCACATTTCCTCAGTTGTCCCTGACATACCGTCTGTGGTTATGTTTGAATCTGTAAACAGTCAGCGTCACACATTGAATTTAGCGGTGTTTTTACTCAAGATAGACCATGGATTTCACCCAGGGTAGGTTTCCTCCTTTCAAGGATCAGATTCTCTTCAGTTTTTATCTACTTTTGGTCTCCAGTTCTTTAAACAGTTTTTAAAAATATTTTTCTGCCAATGAGGGGAAGAGAATTCTCTTACTTTGCAGAAACATGTTACTGTGATGAAGATCATGTGACAAGCAGAATTTTAAATGGCCTGGTGACCTTGGTATGCGATCTCCTGTGCTCATATATTTCTCTTGGCTGGTACTCCAGTCAGGTACTCTTAATTTTAGACTCAAAAACCTGCTCAGAGGGTACTGCAGCCTTGTGTTTTCAGTAGCTGTGGCTCCTTGCTTTGTAAGTGTTGGCTGCAGGGTTGTAGGGGTGTATGAAGCAGAGTAAATGAGGTATGATGCACATTATTTGGGGAGATGGTGGTACTTAAGCCTCACCTTCCAGTCTCACTATGGCTGCAAGTCTGAGAGCCACCCTCTGGCTTTTTCTCACTGTGAAACCTTAATTACAATGTGGAGATTTTCCAACCTTATCTGATTCACATAATTTATCTTTTTCCTCCATCATGAAATACTGAAATCATTTTGAAATATGGCATCCTTTGTCCCTCCGGTCACTGCTTCCTTTAACGTAAATTCTGAATAATTTCCAGACAAAGAGCATTGTTTTTGAACCCCTTCACCTTCTCTACTAGGAAATCCTAGCTGTCAGTCTCCTATCTGCTTTTGTGACAGTAATTGAAAACTCTGTTTTAGCAACTTTTTTTTTCTTGACCCATGTCTGTATAAAAGCTTGACTGGTGCCAGAGAGTTTGAGCAGTTTTTCTCCAGATCTATTTCATGGACTTGCTGCATCATAATCAAGTGGGGTATTAGTTGAAACTGCAGAGTCCCAGGCCCCATCCCAGGCCTAATGAGTAAAAATATGGAGGTGGGTATGACCTGGACAGCAAACGGCGCAGGGTTTTTATGCTTGACTAAATGCTGGCTTAGACCTTTCTGTGAGAGTTCTCAAGAAATGAAGTCATTCAGTTAAGTAAATGTCAAATGGTCCACGTGAAACCTTCTGGAGTTGAGCTCTTTGATTGACTTATTGGTAGTTAACATGTGCCTAAGTACAGAGAAATGACTGATGGAATTAAAAAGCAATTGGAATTTCTATGTAAATGACTGAGTGAATGTTGGTTGTATAGCTTGGTGTCCTGTGGTATCTGCCTTAGACTGCTTGGAAAATTTCTCAGTATCTGAACTGTATGTATACAATTATGTTACTTATTTCTAAAGGGAGGAACAAAGGACTGGGTTTGGGGGGGGTGTGGATGGATAGGTAGATAAAAGAAACAAAGTAAACTCTTTAACAGAAAACGTTTTATGGCATGTCTGCCTCTTTATTAGAAAGTAAACCTATTCTTTTTTAAATGCACATAGTTTATTATAAATTTTACTAATATAAAGGATGTGTAGCACATAAAAGCCTTTTTCATTTTTAAATATCTTAATTACATTCCTAAAAGAAGTTAACAGCAGTAACCTAATAATGAAATTTCTTAGAGGCAATTTTAACCTTCTATCAATAAAACTAGTTACTCAGAGTTTTAAAAAATCGGTCTCTTTTTGCCCTAGTTATGTCACAATTAGAGCAAAACCCACTGAACACACTAGCATTAAATCAAGGTAGATTATTGGTCCTAATTTTAAAAGTTTAGCTTATTTAATCATTCTTTAAAGTATGCTTTTGTAAGTCTTAATTGTGGATTAATGTGGATTGGAGTTGGGTGAGGGGTTGATCTCTGGTGACTAGAAATGTATATTTATTTACCTGAAAAAAAGTAGGTAGTTGGATTTGGGCCCAGAAAGAGTAAGACCAGATTCTGCATGCCTTTTTTTTTTTTTTTGATACGGTACGGATCATAGCTATGACATCTGTACTTAGCGAGTCCTTTTTTAATGAAGTCAGATGCTGTTTCCAGATCCCAATTAATGAACTTCTTGACCTTAGTTACCTTAGGTTCCTAGATATTATTGTCTCTTTGCAGTATAGAGATTTAAAAATATATATAACCCCCCTGGACACCTCCCTCCCTTTCTACTCTTTCCCTTCTTCCCATTATAAGTTACTTGAAACCACTATTTTTAGCTAATAATTTATGCCTGAGTTTAAAAAGAAAATTATGTAAGCCCTTTTAAAAAAATACCAAAGAATTCCTTGTATCAGCGTGAAAATACCTACAGCAATTATCCAGCCTGACCATCTGCTTCTCCAAAGGCCCTCTAGCAAACAGTTACATCTATTTTGAGGTATAGTCCTTTTGAAATAACTTCTTCAGGAAAAAATAAAAAATTCTAACTAGTTCTGAGGGGTTTGTGTCTATGTATTTTGGGGTTTTGGTGTGTATGGCTCTTAAACTGAAGAAGGCTTTGAAGTAATAGTACTTGCAGCTCCTAGTAGAACAAGTACAGGTCATACACACCAGGGGTGGGTATTGAGTTCCTTGGGGAGTCTGCTCCCAGAAGTTAAACAGAATCAAAAATGATTCCTTTCATAGGCTGGGGTGGTGGCTGGAAGAGGAGGGGGGTGCTTTCTCACTGTTAGTGTTCTGCCTCTTGATCTGGGTGCCAGTTGGACAGGTTATTACTGTGCATGTTAGTTTGTGTGAGAGCTGTCATAAATCTTTTCAAGAAAGCAGAAAGTAAGTTAAACTGATTTTAGATTCTGTCATTTAAAAATGTCAAAAGTCAGAAGTCACATTTCAGAAATGTGAGGTTTCACCCTCAAGATCCATTAGCAGCCATGTGTCTTAACAAGACAACCTTAAACAAACTAATTAAAAATCTAGGCCTTATTTGGAGGAGGGTATAAAAATTGATTAGCCCCTTTTTTGCTAATATAAGAATGAAAGTTATCTTTAATAATTCTGTCTTCAAAAGAAAATACAAGCATTATTTAATTACAGAAATGTAACATCAACTTCCTGTCTTCTTTAAAGAATTGAAAACCATGCTGTCAGTAAAAATAGAGGGGTGTGTGCTTTTCTTATCATAATGTATCGAAATACACTTGTGGCCCTAAAAGCATTCAATGTATTAAGTTAAGTGTCCGTTGTACCCAGGAAAGAATAGTACATAAGTAAAACTTAGTTTAAATGATGTAATTTCTGTTCTTCTTAAGTTAGTATATTTGCCAAAGCTATCCATGGGTAGTATTCACTATTAATAAAATATGCCCACCCAAAACACCGTCTACTTGGAACATTTTTTTCCTTGCACTTAGTCCCCAGGTCTGTCGTTTATTCATTCTTTAAAACCCAGCTCAGAAATTACTTCCTTTGGAAGCTGTCTTCCTCCCAAACTTGCCCCCCTACTTCTCTGTGTCACGGGTTATCCACTCCCTTGTACCTGTAAACCTTTTACAGACTATTTTTATCACGTTTGTCAGACCTGCTTGTGGAAGTTCTTAACCTTTTTTGTGTTGTGGACACCTCTGGCAGTCGGGTAAAGCTTATGGATGCTTTGAAGTAATCCATAGCTTCTCTGAAAAAACACGTAAGATTATAAAGGAGACTAATTATATTGACATACAGTTCTGTTCCCAGTACCTCCCTCCCCCCAAAAACTACATGTTTAGTCTATCTCCTTGTAGATCATTCTCATCTTTGGGTCTCCAGAATCTAGTTCAGACTTGGCACACTTAAAATCTTTTTTTTTTTTTCCATTTCATGAGGAGAGATGAGAACATACTTTTATCAAATGATCGTATTGCCTTTTCCCACCTGAATCTTCATTTGCTTAGGTTCTTCCACCTTAATTTTCTTTTAAATTTTGTGTCACTTCCATGTTACTTTAACAGTTCATTTTTTTAATGTTTTTATTTTCAGAGAATACCATTAACACTAGTATCCTTTTCCAACTATTTGGGTTAATTTTCAGGAGCACCTGGGGACAGGGAAGGATTTGGCTTCAATGAAAAACTTCTAGAACAAGTGACTGTTGTTAGTTTTATTTTTATTTCACATTTACATTATGTTACTCAGAAGACCATCATAATTAACTCAAAGAATTGTTTCAGTCAGATATTTTTAGGTGCACTTGGAGAACTCATGCCCACCAGAATTTAGGCACGCAGTGATGGACCTCAGTGAAAGAAAGACATTATATGTCATTGATTTTCTTGCCATTTCTGTTCAAAATCGTACCATGGAAAAATCATGGTAGTAGAACGTATTTTTAATGTTTAGACAACTAGAATTTATTTTGTTTAAGGAAATTCTGTATTCAGATTGGCTGTCTGAGATCTTCCCTGAGATGCAGTGGTCTTCAGCCCGAGCTGCCTGTGTGGTGCACGGGGCTCATCGGGGAACTGGAAGCAGCCCCAGTGAGTGGTGTCCTTCCAGCATTCTAAGACACAAAACTGGAATCGTGTCTGATTCCACCGTGGTCCATAGCACTTGGAGCTTTGGACATAGCTTGAGTTTTGTTTTCCTTTTATGCGTCTGTTTTATCTGTTTAAAAAAAAAAACAAAACTTCTGGTGTTCAGTGACTTAAAACTTTTGGGTTGTCTATTCTATGTCTAGGCCAAAACAACTTCATGAAATCCCAGCCTTTTACTGTCCTGACAAAAACAAGGTGAATTTCATTCCTAAAAGCGGCTCTGCTTTCTGCCTCGTCAGCATCCTTAAGCCACTCCTTCCCACACCAGATCTTACCCTCAAGGGCTCTGGCCACAGTCTGACAGTCACCACTGGCATGACCACTACTCTCCTGCAGCCCATCGCTGTGGCCTCCCTGCCTACAAACACAGAGCAAGACCGAATCTCTCGAGGAACCAGTACAGTCCTGCCACCGACCTCTCTCCTCCCACCACCAGAACCCATCGAGGAAGCTGAAGGATAGGTCCTGGTGCTGCGTGGCCATTGTTCTGGGTAACCAAGAACCTCCTCCATCCCTTGACAGTGATGGCATCGTGCGCTCCCACTTGGCCGTGACGTGCTCCAGCGCTGCCCGTGATGCGTCACCCTGAGGCTTCTGGAAGAAAGCAGCCCCTCTGATGGCTCTGCTCACCCGTGAAGGCCGTCCCTCCGTGCTTAGCCTGCTTTTTCTTAAAGCACCGGTTGAAACAAGAAAAAAGGTCTCATTCTTTCGTTTTGGAGGGCCAATATCACACTGTTTTTTGTTTTCAAATTACTTGAGAAAACAAAAAAAAAACTGATCCTTGCAAACATGATTCCTGAAGGGAGAAGTGAATGATGCTGCAAGAACCATCTTTTATATGAAAATGACTATTTTATAGTACCAATGTTACATTTTCTGAAACGTAGCAAACAGGATGCTCAAAAGATTCTTTGGTGGCCTCTGTTTCTTGTTTCCCTTTCTAGATGTGTGCTTTTCTCAGCTGTTTTCAGCTTTGGGACCAAAGGGATTGTTGACATTTTCCCAGCAGTCTTAATCTCATGACTGTGTTCTTCTCCCAAACAAGATTTGATAGGTAAATGCATTCAACAAGTATATATATTAAAAAAAAATTAAAAAGCAATATTAGTACATCATGTGATTTATGTTTTTTGATGTCAGAAGTTTGTGCTTTGGGTGAAATATTTGTAAAACTGCTGTTTTCTTCACTACTCTGTACACCTTTCACCATGTGGTCAGAAAAATTATAATCTGGAGACAAGTGCTTTAATATGTTCTCACCCATTATTGGAACTTGGTTTAAAAGTCAGTGAGCCAAAAGGAAACAAACTACCCAATGCTGACTGCTAGCGAGGAGTAAGGAGCCCCTAGGGTTTTCTGAGCAGTATTTATCACGTGAGCTCCCTTCTTTACCACAGGTGTCGTTCTACCTTTAATCGTCACTGTATCATAGTCCCAAGAGATCCTAAAATGGCTGTGCATGGACTTCCTCCTTTGCTTTTGTGATGTTGTTGTCTTGTGGATTTGGTCAGGGTTAGTTTGCCAGGAGTGTAACCCATTGAGTAGCGATCCGTAGTCACAGAATCTTGCGGCTGACATTTTCTTTGCGGTGATTGGCACTGAGATGTGGTGCCTACAGATTTTGCTAGTTCTCCCTCCTACGTTCCACACGGTGAGGGAAACAGGCAAGGAGAGCTTTGGAGCATAAACAACAAGAACCTTTGAAGAGTCCATACAGTTTTGGATTTAGGCTCATCCTAATACAGTCACTGCCGATATCACATGACAGCAGTGTTTCACGTCTGGGTATGTGGTGGTGAAATTAAGGAGCAGCTCGTTTTAAAAATGAGTTCCAGCAAACAGTGTTGATAAAAAGCATCCTTCTAAGATCTTTGTAAACTACCTTATGATGCAATAATGTAATGTTCCTATACATATTATAGGGAGGAAAAGGATTTAAATACTTGTAAAAGGGATACAGTTTGAAGGTTAGTATGGTCAGTTTGTCCAGCTATATCCCATCAAAGAAAACCTAGTGGTAGCAATAAATCTTCTGAAAGGACTTCTTACACTTATGTATCTTTAAAACATCTAAGGAATTAAAAATATGCCCTGTTAAGTTGAAAATGGAGATTTATTTAGGCAAATTAGATAAACTTAAACATCTGAATAAGTCTGTCAGGTTTCAGTTGGCAGGACTGATGAATTTTCGGTAACTTTTCCGTCCAAAACTAATTGACCTGGAATTAGTACATTGTGGCTGCTAAATCAGGAAAAGCTCATTTATTCAGGATCTAAATGTTCTGGCTGGTTGTTTTTTGTTTGTTTGTTTTTGTTTTTTGAGAATTTTGATTCTTTGCCTTTGACTTTACCATTTCACCATTGAGAACTGCTGTCAGAGGTACAGAAGAAAAGGTAAAACTGAAATCAGGTGAGTTGGTATCAGTGGTCAGAGAAGGAGGTTACAAACAAGGTTTCAGAAAAGCCCGTCAGTTTTTGGATTATTTGAATTCTGTTAAATCTGTGTTCTTTTTCTTGCCTTACACTTAGTTGCTTCTCTCTCCACCCCTACAACGTCACAGGGGTGTTCATAACTAGAATGCCAGTTTGTAAAGCTTTTCCTCTTACTCTGTTGCGCACATTTGTCTAGCACATCTTTCTGTAGTGTTTCATATATCCTTAAAGTGATTTAAAATCAGGATGGGAGAACAAGTTTGACTCATTATTTATATAGTTTCTTAGTGGAACTTCTAATGTTTGGTTGTATGGAGAATGTGAATTCGCAGGTAAATGAATTGTATGGCAACCAAACATTCCTTGTCTTTGGGAGAAAAAGAGCCTGAAATTTGAGAGGGGGGAAAAATGTACAAGGTATAAACAACTCTTAACTGCCAGTGCCAAAGGGCTAACTTTTAGGCGTATGAGCTTTATGCAGTCTTGAAAAAATATTGACCATAATCCACTCAGCTTTTATTTAACCCTTCACACGTGGTTGACTTTTTTTTTTAAATAGGTCTACTCTCAGTAGAATGCATAATACTGTTTTCTAAAATTACATTCCATAATTATCTTGTTATTCTGTAGAAAACTGTACAGAAGGTAAATACATTAGAATAGCTTCAATGGGAATATAATTTAAATTTTTAAAAAATCAAAGTAAATTTACTTCCAGTGCAGTAAAAGAAATAGGTAGCTTGTATATTTCAGCAAAAGGAGCTATTTTCTGGTTATTCACTTTGTCAGTCCTAAGTTATTTTTACCCTTTAACAATTTCTTCCTTGTGATGATAAAAACATAAATTTACTGCTTCTGATCATGACTAAGTCTTTATTGTCATGGCTTTTGTGAGCAGTTATGTTTTTAAAATACTTGTTTTGCTTTGGTTAGTAGGGGGAGCATAGATGCCAAAATTATTTTTTAACTAGATCCTTCTTTTTGTTTAAAATATTTCTTACACTTGTGACAAGCCAAATGAGCCTTTTAGAAGGTGCTGTTGCTAAATGTGGAATAACTGGCAAGAAAGGCTTTTTTTTGTTTTTTGGTTGGTTGGTTGGCTTTTACTGGAAAATAGCAAAATGTATATAGCCTTCTGGTATGTTCAAGATTAGGACTGGGTTGTCAAGATTTTCTTTTGTTAAAGGAAATAAAAGAAAAATTGCCACTACTGAATTTACTATTATAAAATTAAGATTCATTCCTTAATGCTTGGAATTTTGATATCTCAAGACCAGACCAGTGGATGTGCTGAATTTGCATTAAAAAAGCTAAAATACTTAACTTTGCACTTTAAGGTTTATGTTTTACTCTGCCTAAATTAATGATAAGCAGAGCAGCCCTGAACAATATTTTGTTTATACAATCCTGTTGAAGAATATAATTTATGTTTTTAAAAATTCTTTATTTTTCATCTCTGTTGAAGCTGTGTAAATTTTTTAAAATGCAATTTTAAAAAGTTTTGTTTTTCTAACAAAATTCTCCCTCAGAACAGCATTTCCAATGGTGATAAGTATTGTTACTGTGTACTCATGTATTCCCTGTATCTGAACACTTGTTGCTGCCTCACAAGAAAATAGAACTTTTATGTTAAAAATAAAGTCTGTTCTTCTTCAGAGTCTTTTTCTGCACACTTCTATGAATACTGCCTCAAACTCAAATTTATTTCTTTTCAGACACTTCTAGCTGGAAATAACCTTAGTATATTCTTTTTTCACAGATAGAAAAATGAACTTGTTTTAAGTAGCAGGGTATGTAATATTGTCAGTTGTTACTTCCTTGCTCCCTCCTTAACTTGATCTTTGTGGTAAGTGCTAAGTAAACATTAAAATATAAGCAAGCACACTGACAGATGTACGCATTTATAAGTAATTCAGTACTTCACAGTTTGTTAAGAGATTTAGCTGGGGGCCATCACTTAATTTCATTCTGAAGTACACTTAGAGGAATTTTTCCTTTTGTTTTGGTAATTCATTCTTGCTGAACCAGCCATATTCCTTTGGGACAGTGGTTTACAAATGCAGGACAGCCGTTTAGGCTGAGGGCTGTCGTCTGTATGATGACCGAGTGCAGTATGATCGTTTAGAAAGCAGGGTCACCTTTTAAGTGAAACAGAAGCATCACCACAGCTATTTGCACTGAAAAGTGATCCCCAAATTACTTTGTAAAAAATTCTAAAAATTATTTTTTGGGGAAAACGTTAACCTGAATTTGGGGATAACTAATGTTTACATATTTACCTTATAATTTAACATAGCATCAAACGCAAAGAGGATTTATCAAACTGGCATAATATTTTCTTCCATTTTTTTCTCAGTCTTTTCTTTCAACCTTTAAAGAGGTTGAGAGGAGAAAATTTAGATCTCAAGTCGGGTGTTCCCTTATTCTCCCATTTATTTGAGGTGTTTTGCTTTGATTCATTAGTACTAAATACCCACCCCTCCCAACCCCCCAAAGGTTTTTAGGTCTACTGTGGTCCTTCCCCTTCAAGTGCTTTTTTTTTTTCTTTTTAATCGCTTTCAAGTGGTCGAGGTGTGAAATGCTTAAGAGTATCTTAGGAGTTTCCTGCCGGTGCATATCAATTTTCTTTTTCCTGGCTAAGATTAGTTTTGCTTTTTAAATATCTTTATTTTAAACCTCTACTAGAACATGGTATGATAATACAAACAGCCTTTTGTATCTCTTTGATTCAGAGTTTTTCAAACTATTTGGGTCTTGAATTAAATGGGTCCAGCCAGCATTTTTTTTTTAGTAGAGTAGAATAGAAAACAAATATATTCAGACGTAAGGAGAGCAGTATTTAAGGAGAATAGTATTTGTATGTAAAGCTTTTGCTAGACAGACATATACAAGGTTGTAAAGTGTATTTCTTACTGTGGGTTGTAATCAGAATGATTTGAAAAATACTGTTGTAGATACAACTTTTGTGTATGTGTTTGGGGTTGGTCTGGTATCTTAACACAGAGACTAGAATCTTTAAAGACATTGTCTCTACCTCCCTCTCATAAGTATCTCCAAATTGCTGGTTTTATTAAAAAAATACTTGTCTTTTCAGTGGTGTGCATCTTCCTCAAACTGAGAGTTTATCTCCATATACTCTGATTTGATTTGATAGCATCGACTTCAGTCATGCTAAATCATTATGTTTAAGAGAAGACTGTCATGGAGCTGTGATGGTTAAAAACCAGGAGTGGGACCATCTCAATTCCATGTCTTAAGCAGTTACCTTTGAGAACTCTGGGATGATTCAGAGGAGATGCAGGAAAAGCACAAGATTTAGGGCCACTTGCTTGGGTACTAGTTCTGGCTTTGCCGCTTAATGGTCATGGGATCTTAGGCAAAGAAGTCACCTCTTTGAATCTCAGATTTCTTATGTGATGAAGGAAATGCTGACAGTGGTGCTATCAGTCAAGTGTCTAGTGAATATGAAAATAACTTACAAAGCTGGAAGCAAACACTTATCTCCTTTATATTTTGTTAGGTAAGTTTATTTCTTAGCAAAGCCAAAAGTTGTTGGTATGGAATACGGTCCCATAAAATTCATTTTACCTTGTAAACTATAATACAGTCAAGGATGTTGATCTGAAATCATAATAAAGACAGGTAACACTGATAACTTACCAAGTGCCAGGCTTGGTGCTTATAATAACTCTATGAAGCCAGGTATTGCTAGTTTTACTATCTTACAAATGTCAAAATCAGAATTAGACTAACTTATCTTTGGTCATAGGTCTGATAATGTCAAAATTTGGCTTTGAACCATGTCTAACTCTAGAACTCAAACTTAACCACAAAGCCTTACTGCTATTTCTCCTGTAACAGTGACATTAGTAAAATCTATGTGTTCGGCATCATTGCAGTTATATGTCATCGGGTCACTGCCTTGTTTTTTCTTGGTGGTCTTGCTTGCTTCCAGTGCTGGCAGCTTGGTTCAGAGGGTGAAGAGAAAGTAAGCTGGTTGACACCAGTTCCCGGCCAAGGAAGCTAATTACACAAATCCTCAAGCTCTCTAGGTTTTAACGTTGCTATAGCTGCAGAAATTCAAAAGAATTATTTTCTTTAATTTGAGGAGCACATCTTTTAGAGAGGCAGGAAGTAGTGACTCTAATCACCTTTTTGTTGGATTTTTGCCTGACTTTTTGAGGAAAAGATTTACAAAAGTAACTTTTTAATCTCAACTACTTGGTATGCCCATTTCAGACAGACAGTAAATCATCCAGACCACAATTTAGTTCATATATAATATTAACAGTAGTTATTCCTAGATGGTAGGGCTGTGGATGATTTCTTTGTCTTGTACTTTTTAGTGTTTTCCAGACTTGAAAATGAGAGAGTATTACTTTGAAATGGGAAAAAGAAAACAACTTTTTTTCTTTAAAAACATGCACTTCAAAACCTTGTTAACACCACCCAGACCCTCACCTCCATTTTGTATTTACTCTTTAATCATTGAATGGTTTATTTATACCACTGAGTGAAGGAAGAACCATGTCTTGACTTTAGATGCCAAGGACAGTTCTTACTGAACTCTTTTCATTGTCTTCTTTTCATCATCTTTTTCACTGGCACATAAAAGATGCAAGGAGATATTTTATGTTGGGCTTATGGATGTGACCCATCCTGACAAACATTTTTCTTCCCATCCGGTTCCGTACGTTTCCTTTGCCATATTTAAACATCTTACTATTGTATGTTTTAAATTCATTACTTTTGATACTGCTAACTTAGTATTTCTTTCCTAGCTTAATGTCTGTATCCCAAGATTCTGGGTCTGCTTTACTGCTCAGGGTAAGGAAATGGCAGGGCCCTGCCAACACTATGGAAAATGGAAATTACTGGATCAATCCTGGCTTGCTTTTCATTCCTCCCTTCAACAAATCAGGTTAAATACTATGGCTTATATTTCACTGGTTATTGCTTCTAGGCTCAAATTTTTGCTCTTTAATAGTTTATATTCTGTTACTTTGAGTATTCACACACAGAACACACATTCTGTTGTATCCCATATCTTACGAGTCCGTCCTGTAAACTAGACAGACTCTAAGTAATTCAGTAAATTAGAGTCAGTCTCACAATGATATTAATTGCCCTGTTTTACTTTCATTCTGTAGTATCTGTATGTATTCAAACTACCTTCTTATTACTGTGGTCCTGAGGTAAAACCCATGTTTTTGAATAGGGAGACAGTAATTGGATTTGTATTGAACACTTTAGGAAATACTTCGTTTTATGCCATCTTGTAATCTTTATTAAAAGAGGCTCAGAAAAATGGCACATTCAACTTCCTTTGTTCTTATGCTGTAAGACCTCTCCATTTCCAGATGGTCTATGAAGAGAGTTATCTGAAATATCCACTGAAATACAAACACTTGTTTCATTGTGCAAATACTGAAACCTGTTTTGTTAAAATACAGTTTTTTTCTAACCATGTCATTTACAATTAATGAAAGATTTCAAAAAATACCAAGTTACACCAATCTGATCTTAATCTGCCCTGGTATTCCTGCCTTTCTTATAAAGTGGTTGAAGAAGATTAGGCAAATTTTAGTTCTTCTGGGGCTTTTCTAAGTTTAAATGCATACTTATTTAGTGTTTAAAAGTATAAGATAGGTATTTTCCCCCATTTAATATAAAAAGCATCCATTTATTTGGAAAGAGTTGTTCTCAGCCCACACTTGGTTAAGGTTAATTAATTTACTTATTGAATGGTTGGTCTAGATTTAACCAAACAGCAACTGACCACCCCTCCCACCCCTCTGTTCTGTGTTTATCCTGTCCTCCCCTTTACTCCCTACTGAATATGTGCTTGGTTTCCTGTTTTAGCGATTTAGGTGTGATATAGCCAGCTTTCTGTTTCTGGCCTTAAATTAATGATTGAGCTTCATATAACTAATCTTGAGAAAATATAGTTACCTTCATTTTAGTAACGGTTTTAAATGTGCACTTCAAAAATGGAGTTGTGAGACTTGCTTAAGTTATAACGACTTGCTAAGGCAGGTAATGTTGCTTTGGGGTTGAACGGGCAGCTACATACTCTGTTGAAAGAGAAAATGTTAGAGAAACTAAGAAATAATAAAAATCCTTGTAAGCATCTATTTTTTGATAACCTTTGCTCTTGGGAAATTGAGGGCAGGATCCCCTTCACATTCATGGGATTTGGGCTTCTGGCTTTGAGAGGCTAGTGATTCTCCTTCTGCACTGAATATGTCTGTTCATACGAGAGCAAGAGCTGCCTTGTATGTGTGTGAGGAAGCTGTCCAAATATTTTTGAACTAATGGATTAGTGAAAATTAATGAAAGAAAAATGGCATAAACTAAAGGCATAAAGTGACTTTTCTGAGGTATTCAGAGTTGAGAGCAGAGTGATCATGGGATAGAATTTAGACTGATTCGTAACCATAATCATGGCAGAACAATGACAGTACTGCATTCTAGGGAATTTCAGTGAATAAAAAGGACGAGTTAAAAAATGCTTCTTAAGGAATCACCAGATAAGAACTAGGAATGAACATGTGAAACTATTTTAAGGAAAGATTTACATAACCTTTTCCTGAGTCCATGCCTACACACTCCTTGCTCTTCTGAAGAGCTGTGGGCGATTCAGGTCGTAGTTGGGCCAGATTGCTGTGGACGGGAAGCAGACTTCATTTTATCTGCTCTGGTCTGTTGCTAAAAAAAAATGTTTTTCTATATACAGTGACTCAGACATTACCCATGATTCTCTTGTAAATAATATGTAAGCCTGTTTGGAACTAGGAGTACAATGGAAACTACTGTGAACATCTTAGTTAAACGTTTTCTTATGCAGATGCAATGGACTGGATGACAAAGACAAGGCACCTGGAGAACTGCCTCAAAACTAAAGGGTGGGCAGGAAAAAAAGAATAGGAAACTGAGTGACTGTGTGTACAGTGGCTGTTTTCATTAAATTGCCTTCTCTCCAGTACTTACACTCTAAACCTTCTAAGGGTAGGTTTGTCCTTAGTAATCAAAGTCTCAGATGATGTCCCCCACAGAAAAGTGGGAAAATAAGACACTCCCTTACGATGGTACAGAGCTTTCTGTAACTGCCAGAAAGTATTCTGGTTTAAATCACATCAAGCAGTATGGGTTAAGTGCAAATCTGTATGAGGGCAAGTTGTTTGGAAATCTCCCCTCACTCAGACAGACGCTTGTGGGTAATTTCAGGAACACCACTGCCAGTTGCTCAGGGCGTGTCCTCCCCTTATTTTCTTTCCAGGAAGAATATGAATATGGTACATTATGGTAGGAATGTGTGAAGAACCAGGCTTGGAGACACCTGCACAATGTCTTGAATATTATTGGACATTCTTGTAGTTTATGAGATGGGAAGAGAAATTTTTCTGTTTTTGAGGACAGACTTAGCAAATGAATCAACCTGCTACTTCCCCAAGAAAATTCAATAATGAAATGGGGGGTGGTACCCAGGATTTTGTATGAAGAAAAAAAAGCTAAGTAATATTACATATCAGTCTCCAGGTGAAGAAAAAGCACCAAGTTTCTCTGTAATTTCACTAAAGCAAATTGAGTTTTCAAATCTTACTCTATCTTTCTAACTAAAGACAAAACTAGTCTGGTTCTAGTGCTGTTTTCCATGACAGAAAATTCCCCCTGCCACTGTTTTATTTAAAAACCAACCCCAAATCACAACCCAGTTTACATACTGTCCTTTATCCTCCTATAGAATTCTCATAACTAGCAAGGCAACTTACATAAAAAAGGCTTTCCAAACAAACAAACCCAACTCCTACTGATGAAATTGTTATTTTGAAATAAGTTTTAGTATCTATTTCAGACTCAATAGTTTCTAATATTTTCCACATACTATCAACACCTGCAAAGCCAAGATTTTAAGAGATAATTATTAAAATGTGGTCCTTACCATCTGTCTTAAAGTTGGTTGTCAAGTGCTAAATACTCAAACATAATACTTTTGTATATGGATGACAATATAAACTCCTTTCCCCAAAGATAGTATGTTGCAAAATTGATGTCTCAAGGCCATTGTAGTGACATCGTAACCTAAGTCAAGCATTCAGAAGCTCATCATCTGAGTGTCCAATAGCATCTGGGTTGGAAAGTGGATCTAAGTCTGCAAACAGACTGAACCAGGCAGACATGTCTTGATTACCACTGTTGGGAGCTAGTAAAAAGGGGAAGAAAAAAAAGAGTCTCAGATTCTTGAAATCACATTATTGTACCACTTTTATGATTTTAAAATAGGTGCTTCTTTTAATCAAATGTAAGACAACTGATAGGAATAAACATCAATTATATCTCTTGAGGATAATTTTGAAAAGCTAATGCAAAAGTAACTTCTGTTCCTACAAAGTAGGAACATTACACTTGTCTTGGTGCTTAAAATCTGTATTTATTATAAAAGTAACAAAATATTAGATGTAAGGGAAAGAATTCCCCTAATCTACTATTGATATTAACACACGCAACAGTTGTCACTCTGGTTTACACTTGTTTCCTTTGTCTTTCCTATGTGTACTTTACACATTTTGATATATGTATTACGGAGTGAATTTTGTCTCAGATAAAGCTTCCTATTGACCAACTCTCTCTCCATGTGGAGACTGAAAAGTCACATACATAGACAGTCTGCGAGCTGTGGCAGACAGTCGAGGATAACGTTTATGCTGAAGGCTGGGGCTCAGAGATGGCACAGTGGCACAGGCAGTAGATCACCTCAGAAGGCTGGGCTCTCGAAGGCCAGGGGGCCAGAAAGCAGTGCCGAGACCCAGCGGACAATCTAAAGACCTACATGTGAGACCAGAGACACAGCAGGCAGGGGAAGCAAGGCAGTCCTACTCTTAGAAGTCTGAGGCAACCCTCTTTTACAATCATGGTTACCACTTTCCACACACTGGAGGGCTGGAGTTTGGACTGGGGATAAGGTTAGGACGCAGAGAGAAGCTGCACTGTGTGTCCAGTTCTGTTTCTGGGAATTCCAAGGTGGTGTCAGTGATACCCACACAAGTTCTGGCTTTGAGTCCTGGGTGTACTACCTATTACGTCACAACGGGCAAGTAATTTAACCTGAGGGGGTCTTGTTTCCTCATCGGTCAAGTAATGATCATGTAATTTATCATTAAACCAGGATACATGGGAGGGAATGGGGTGGGGGCTATTGATAATTGTACTTGAAGAATAGGTGTCAACCAGGAAAATGTGGTCATTCTAGTAATACCTGTGCTCCCGGTGTAGCTGTGGAGGGGTTCTATGAGCACATGCAAAGTGTATGGCATTTTGCAAATGTGGGATGGTTTTATATTCATCTGTCATAGTGGGAAATGAAGGTCTTACATTATTTTCATGGGGATTCTCCTTGTGCTCACTTTTCTTGCCTACAGAGACTGCTCTTATAGGACAACAAACAAGATGAATAAATCATACTAACTGTAATACAGGTACAGAGAAAAACAGCCCAAGTAACTTGTTAATTTTCATTAAGTAAAAGCAACCATAAACAATACCAACATCAAGAAATAACACACTACTCCTTAGAAGCTCCTCTTGTGACACCCTTCCAGTGACCACTCACCACACCACACCCCTACCCAGACAACACTATATTCTGTTAAAATGCCCATATCCAAAAATCAAAAGATGTGGAAATGTTTCAGGTTAAAAGAGGCTAAACATGGCAACTGAATACATGACCCCAGACTGACTCACTGTCCCAGAGGGGGACAGTGCTATAAATCACAAACATGGAATACAAACAAATGGTAGATTATAGAACAGTATTACGGTAATATTAAATTTCCTGAAGTTTACAGCCATACTGTGGTTGTGCAAGAGAATATACCTGTTCTTAGGAAACACAGACTGCAGCATTTAGGGGTAGGGGGTCATGATGTATGTAACTCACCCCAAGTGGTAAAGAAAAAAATCACACACACATCACACACACCACACACACACACAGGCCTGCATAAACCAACTGAAGAAAAATACCAACAGGTGAATCTGGGTAAAGGATATGCAGGTGTTCTCTGCGCTATTTTCATTTATGAAATATTTCTGTACGTCTGAGATTCTTTCCAAGTAAAAAGTTAAACCAGCATCAGTGACTAATGCTATCTAAAATCCTGCAAGGTAGAGAATGTGTCCATCTTCTGTGTATAACTACATGGTAATTACCACATGGACCAGCTCTGCAGACAAAATATAGTAAGTTCTCAGTATATGTTAGCAATTACCATGACCAGGCCTACACTAAGTGCCTGAACCTGTTGTCGACAGGCTTCCTGTAAACAAACAGCATCTTCCATCCCTAATGGTATTATCCATTATCAACAAACCTAAGCACAAAATAGAAGACTAAAGCACAGAATTTGGTATGACAAGTTCACAATTTCTATTCAGTTCTTTCCATTGTGAGGGATATCGCCAGATACAGCCTTCTTCTTTTTTTTTCTGACACAGCCTTCATTTTAATTCACTATTAACAAAATACTTTCCTGGACAATATGAGGCAAAGACTATAAAATGATTCTTTTCTAAATGTACCTGAATTCAACTGATAATATGATGGCAGATAATATAAGTAAATAACTTACATTTTGTTAATTTCTTTGGACTCTCAGAAGGCACTGGCTGGTTATCAGTGTGTGAAAGAGGAAGTTCTAATCCTCCTTGGGAGGCCCAGCCTGGGGAGAGAGAAATGATAAATTATCCATTGTTAATGAAATAGGAAGTAGCATCAGAAAAACAAAAAAAGGGAAAAATACCTAATAAAAGTCCTCCAATTTTTGTCCCAGAGAATCTACAGTATAAGACATGTAAGATACTTGAAATTTATCTGCAGTTATGAATTTTATTCACACCATCTAAGTTCAGTTCCAGCTAGAATTTCTTACATTTTGCAAAGTGGTTCTAAAATAAATATACAAGTTTTTTTTAAAAACCTGCAAATGGGATAAAGTATAAAAGAGAAGTTCTAAGGAGTCAGGAAGAAAGGAAATGGACCTGATAATTAGAATCTTGAGAACTATAAATAGTTTATACCCTTTGACTGGGTAACCCCATTCCTAGAAATTTATCTTGAGGAAATAATTTAACTGAAGGAAAAAGTACATGTATGATTATGCTTCTTGCAGCATTATCTACAACATGACAAAGGAGAAACAATGAGGAAGCAATTGAGTAGATTATGGTGGATAAATGTGCCAAAATATGAGGTAGCCCTTAAACAGTATGATTACGAACACCCTTTTGGTAACACAGGGCAACGTTTGCTGTAACGTGAAAAGTTATTTATGCTGTAATTAAAACACAGCAGTAGAAAGGAAATTAGATTATCCTGCCTACTGTCTTCCTTGCATAGAAGAGAGCATCTGATGCCCAAGTCCTTACTTGCAGCTCCTAGAACATAGATCCTTTAACTCTCAGGGCAGCTCAGCTTCCTGGTCTACATCACAGACAGGAGAAAAAGAAGTAGACATAAAGGAGAGACCTAGTGAAGTAGGAAGATTCCTGTACTGGGAGGCAGGAGACTAGATTTCGGTCCCCTTCTAACAGTTTAAACTGCCTGATGAGTCTGAGCAAGACACTCAAACACAAGGACCCACTGCCCCAGCAATTACAAGGGGATATCTCGTCAGCCAGCACAAAGGGCAGGACCGACGTTCTGAGTGGTGAAAAAATATTGTCAATGCTGTATGGCCAGAAAAGAGTCCACGGCTGCTAGTGATGTGGCAAGTGAGGGAGAGAGAGCAGGAGTTCACTAGTAGAGAGTGAATCAGTCTGTAAATCTTCATAACTGTTGGGTCGTTGATATGCATGCGAGAATAACTGCTATCTAAAATTTTACTGCAGCCGACCGTCTGAATTATCCTAGATAGAGTGCCTTGTTCTCAAATAACACTATCCATTCTTAATTTTAGGCTATTTAACCAATTCTTAGTGAGTTATTATTTAACTGATACTTTTTGTATTTACTGAGCTAACTTTATGCTGCTGTGATAGAAAGCACGGAGATACATCAACCCACACATCACGTCCTTGAGTGCTTGCAGACTGGCTAAAGCGTGATGGTCCTGCAGATGAAAGTATGAACACAAGTATTTTAATAGAAAATACCATGTGTTAAGACACTGTGAGGTGCTATGAGGCTTTTCCTCAGGGGTTAAAACCTACTAGAGATGAAAGACAGGAATACAAGGCAAGATAAACTATGATCACAGCCATGAAAACAGAGAAAGC